CAGAACTGTGCACTTCAACATGGCTAAAATGGCAACTTTTATGTTAGGCATTTTTTACAATAATATTTTAAAAGCGTAGGAAAGATGAAAAACATTCTGGAGATGGGTGTTGTGATGCTTGCACAATGATGCAAATGTACTCCATACCACTGAATTCTTCCCTTAAAAGTGGTTCCAATGGCAAATTTTATATTACATATATTTTACCACAATTAAACCAAAATTCCTAAGCTGCCCTCCTGCCCGTCTTACCTTTCACCCTCTCTCCCCAGGCTATGTGGTCTTCACTGAAGCCTCTGCAGCAGCACTAAGAGGCTGGCTCTGGAAGGCTTGGCTTCTCTCTGCCACGGCCTTGCTGCCTTGCTCTGTGACCCTGGTGAGTGTCCTGCCCTCTCCGGGCCTCAATTCTGTGATACTTGGTAGAACTAGATGTACTTTGAGGGTTCTCCCAGCTCTGATGTTCCCTGAGTCTGTGTTCTAAGTCATCCAATGGACCTCCCCACACCCCAGGAATTCTGAATAAGGCTGCAGGTTTGGAGCCCCCAGAACCTGGTGTAGGGGTAAGCATTCTTAGGGGCCTGTAGGGAGAAACCAGCTGGGGATTGTCATGGAGACACATGATACTAATAAACACACCCCCTCCGAGCGCCTGTTTGGTCCTTCAGAGTTTATAATACACTCCCACTGCCATTACCTCGGTGACCCCTTCGTTCCACAAACATCCAGAGAGTCCCTCCTCTGTGTCCGGCATTGGGACATGAGGGGTCACTGGATGAGCCTAGATAGGGTAGGATGAGGGACTGAGAGGAGAGGAGCTGAGGCCTGGGAGAGAGGGAGGGAGCTGGAGTGTGGAGTTTGAAGGGGCCCCAGGTAGAGATGGTGCAGCGCCAGATTTCCCCAGGGCCTCGTGGGCTACCTAAGAGCTAGTACTACACCCTCAGGAACATGGAGTCACCCCAGCTGGGTGGAGAGGGGCATTGCCAGCTCCAGGCGAGACTGTCACTCTGGGCAGAGAATGGATCCCAGGGAGGCAGGAGCTGCCAGGGAGGGGCCCTGGTGAGTCCCTGGGTCTACTTTCCTGCTGAGGAAATGGGTCCCCACGGGCCAGGGAAGGGCCCAAGTCATTATCAAGGTAAGGGGTCTGGATCTGAGTCCTCACACTTGCTAGGCCCCCAAACCAAAGCTCTTCTCACTTGATTCAGGCCCCCAAATAATAGTAGTACACACTGGCTTAGTGCTCCGTGCCAGCCAGTTCTGAGCAGGTGGGGGCCTGAATTCCCAGAACCCTCCTAGCCCACCAGCCTGCAGGGGATCTTGCTGTCAGTATTCACTTTGACAGGTAAGGAGATGAGACACCCTAGAGTAACTTGCCCAAGGCCACACAGCGGGTAAGTGGCAGGGGCTGGATTAGAACTAGGCAACAGAGGCTGGGGACAGCTGCAGTTTTAAAGCCCTTTGCCAGGTGTGGGATCGCAGTAGGGAGGGGAATGGTGTGTGAAACACCAGGAAGTCCCCAGAACAAGAGCTGGGGCTGTGGCTCAGTGGTAGAGCGCTTGCCTAGCGTGTCAGAGGAGCAGGGTTTGATCCTGGGCACCACATATGAATGAATGAATGAAGGAAGGAATGAATAAATAAATAAATAAAGGCATTGTGTCCATCTACAACTAAATTTTTTGGTTTGTTTTTGTGGTGCTAGGGATGGAGCCTTGTGCTTGTGAGGCAAGCACTCTACTAACTGAGCTATTTCCCCAGCTCTACAACTAAAACATATTAAAAAAAAAAAAAAAAGTCCCCAGAATGCTGTGTGACCTCCAGCCACTCTTACTCCCTTTCTGGGCCTATGTTCACCTGACATATGAGCATAAAATCACCAGGAGCCCCTCTCTTTCCCATTGGCCTCTCATTTCTAGATCAACCAACCCACCCCTCCCAGCACAGATATACCCAGAGACTAAGGCAGGGGAGAGGCTGGAGATGGGGGTGGGGCATGGATTGGCAACAAAGAGGACAAGGGACGGGTTAACCCTTCTTCAATAACCTAGTCAGTTGCTGGAATCCCCCTGGGGTACCACCCAGCCTGAGCTTGGATTTGGGGACATAAGTCCCACCTACTTTGCTTCCTAGAGCCTGCAGGAACCCAGCTCCCACCACACTCTCCAGGGACCTGGGACCTTATTTAGAAAGTGTCTCCATTGGAGCCTGAGTCACCAGGTCCCTGGGTGGTCTGGGGAAACCACAGTCACTGTCCAGCACCCTGCTGGGGGATGGGGGGGAGGCAGCAGCTCCTGTCACTGCCTAGAACTCAGCCACAGCCAGCTCCTGGGACTCAGCATCCCCATCTGGTTGAAACTGAACTCTCAGAGCCCCAGGAAGAAAGGCAGCCACCCGGAGGCCAGTCAGGGACTTCAGGGAAGTCCTTGGTCTCACTTTCCCTGTCTACCAAATGGGGATGTCACTCCCTGTGCCTCTTGCTCCCCGATGATGAAGGATTGTGATCATTGCTTCCATTCTCAGGCATTATGGGGTGGCTGGCTGCAGCCTCTACGGGCAAGGAGCCTGCCACTGGCGGGTGACATGCTCTGGAAGCCAGGATGGGTTCAGGGCTAGAACCTGTTCCTACCTGCAAGTCTGCCTTTAAGTCCCTTGAAAATGACTTTTTTTTTTTTTTTTGGTACTGGGGATTGAACCCAGGGGTGTTTACCACTGAGCCACATCCCCAGCCCTTTTTATATTTTATTTTGAGACAAGTTCTCACCCAGTTGCTTAAGGCCTTGCTAAATTGCTGAGGCTGGCTTTGAACTCTCAATCCTCCTGCCTTAGCCTTCTGAGCCGCTGGGATCACAGGTGTGTGCCACCATGCCCAGTTTGAAAAGGATCTTTAAGAAAGTCCAGCTCTGATCACTTATTGGTCCATTTAGAAACCAGCCCATTTTCCCCACAGCCTCCTCGATATCAGCCCAGTTCCTCATGGTGTTGTGTGAGGGTTCCCAGCCTCCCTCCCCAGCCCTTGCAGTGTGAATGACAGCTACTGCTGAGCAAGGTGCTGCACAGGGTGCCTAATTCTCCCAATCTGCGCCAAGGTGGGAACAATTTTTTCCCATCTTACAGATGATGGCATGGAAGAACACTGAGAAGTTCAGAAGTCACTGACTCTAAGTGGCAGGGGTAGGATCTGAATTCACGTACCCTCTCTCCAGAGTGTCTGAAAACTCCTCTTCTGCTTCCTGGTCTCTGACATCCCTGACTGTGAGTTTAGGAGCCTCCCATCTTGACCCTACACCAGGAATTGAGCCTCTAAAAGATGTCAATGAGTCAGGCATCTCTAGGACAGGGCCTTAGTAGGGGGTACCCTGGAGTAACCACCTGTGGTCAGTTTAGAGGCATGGGGACAGGATTCATAAAGGCAGGGACAGGATGCATAAAGGCAGGGATAGTCTATTGGCAATAACTTTGGGAAGCAAAGTTAAATGATGTCTTTATGGGAGGATGTGGTGACCCAATCCCTGCCTCGTGCCACCCACAGCCTGTGTAGGAGGCTTCCCTGTGTTGAAATGGGGATGGTTTGTGTGATAGTGACTACAGCAGAAGCTTTGGTGTGCTCCTCTGAAATGCGAATATAGAAGACAGAGGCTCCACTCTTGGTGTCTCCTTTGATCACTTGCTCTGGTGCAGCTTTGTCATGGGAGGTTTGACAGAGAGGCCAGCATGGAGAGGACCTGAGACCCCTTGCCAACTGCCACGTGACTGGGCTTGGAATAGGACCCCAGACCCAGTCAAATCTTAGATATCCACATTCCTGGCATGACCGCAAGCTCACTGAGCCAGGACCACTTGGCTAAACTGCTCCTAATTCCTGACCTGCAGAAACTGTGGGAGTTAATGTTAGTTGTGTTAATCTACTGAATTGGGGGATGATTTATTATATGGCAAAGAGATAATACACAGGACTTCTCAGAGCACTTCACGTTAATATAAACCTTCAAGAAAGAAGGCATACAATGGAATGTTTCCTGTAGCTATCTGGCCAGCAAGGCCTTCTTTTAAGGGTATTCTGGAGCTGGGCCTGGTGGCTCATGCCTGCAATCCCAGGGGTTTGGGAAACTGAGGCAGGAGGATGACAAGTTCAAAACTAGCTTCAGCAATTTAGTGAGGTTCTAAACAGCTCAGTTGAGACTCTGTCTCAAAGGAAAAAAATAAAAAATGGGCTGGGGACGTGGCTCAGTGGTTAAGTACCCCCAGGGTTCAATCTCTGGTATCCAAAAAAGAAAAAAGAATGTTCTGGAGAAAAAAATACTGATATAATGAGATGGCTCGGGTCCTACAATTAGATGGAAATTGCAGGCTTCATTTGACTCATAAGCTAGTCACTCATCCTACCAGAACCTCAATATTCCCCTTCTATGAAGTTGAATGAAACACACCATCCACCACATAAATCATTAACACAGCTGAGCTGGGGATGGACAGATTCTGAGCTCATCTGTGGTGGTGGTGGTGGTGGTGGTGATAGGATAGCCTGTGAGACCCCAAGAGGAGCTTTGCCATGGGGTTCCAAAGCGGTTATACAAGGTGGTAAATGTGTCTTGGTCTTATTTCCTCTGGCTATTTCCCCAGAGTGGTGAAAAATAGTGTCTTCTGGTTCCTGCCCAGCTCTGAGATGGGAGGCACGGACCTGAGCCTCCCCCATCGGACTCAGAGTTCCTTCAGGCCAAGGCAGGAGCCCCCTCCGTCACACAGGGTAGCCAGCACTATACTGTCTTTCCCTGCCTGGGTCCCTATCCAGGGGATCTACCACAGCCAAGGGCAGGAAGGAACAGACCCTTCTCTGGTTCACTTAAGAGTATTATCCTTCCTCCCTTTTCAATTTATTCCCTCTACTTTTAATCCAGTAAATTCTGAAGTCGTTTCAGAGTGCCTGATGGGTCAGAAGCCACTCAGAACCCCTGAGTGTCCCTCTTTGTAAAAACAAGACAGTTTAAAATTGAAAAAAAAAAAAAAACTAGAACGTGAATACTTTATTATCATCGAGTGACTGCTATGAGCTTTTTGTCTGGGCATTAATATTTCAAAAGCCATACACCAAACCCAGGCTTTTCCACCTAGTTCTGCTGTATCATTTTTCTTAAACAACACAAAAACAAAATAAAGAAGAGGAAGGAGGAAAAGAAAGAAAATATATCTGTATTGAAAGAATTATAAGCCAAAGTGCGTCTTTCTTGTTTTGTCCATATACACACATTGCACCATACATAAATAATTACATTGTAAAAATGACTCCATAATTACAAGTATAATATATATTTCCATATAATATATAAAACTTTATATTAAATCTAGGTAGATGATATTTGGGGGGGTTCGTCCGTGGGGCCGCGTCTCTGGGCGCCGGCCCCTCCCGAGGTGAGTGATGGCGGCGCCCGGCCTCCTGTGCGCCCCTGGCGGGGCCGCCGCTATCTGTGGTTGTTGAGCAGGATCTCCAGCCAGCAGGGACAGGAGGTGATGAACTGCCGGGAGTAGCAGGGCCCCCAGCCCTTGGCGAAGCTGATGCGCACGCTGTTGGGGTCGTAGGGGCCGTCGGCGGCGTCGGGCTCGGCCGCGTGCTGCAGCAGCCCCGAGCGCTCGAAGTCGAACACCTTGATGGAGTAGCCGGGCGGCACCTTGCGCACCACCAGGGCGCGTGCGCCGGGCGCGTCCAGCGTCGGGGAGTTGACGAAGATGGGGTGCTCGCCTCGGTTGTAGGCCCACACGCCGTCGGGCTCCTTGCTGAGCAGGATCCCGAAGCCGATCTTGCTGCGCGTGCGCCGCACCGACTCGCTGCGCTGCTCCAGGTTGAGCTGGCCCAGGCAGAAGCCGCTGCCCTGAGGTAGGTCGTAGAAGATGCTGACGGCCTGGTCGTACACCGCGTAGAGGCGGCCCACACGCGTCCGGTGCTCCCAGTACGCCACGCTGCACCAGTGGCTCGGCTTGGTGGCATCCGGAGACATGCTGGCGTCTGCTGGACAAGCACAGGGTATGGGGGGTTACTGGGGGGTGTGGTAACCAGGGGGTCACCAGGGGTGTGTCTGGACAGTAGGGGGCTAGGTAAAGTTTCAGGGGTTCAGCAGTTGTGTGAGCGCCTACTGTGTGCCATGGCGCGGGACATTTGGCACACAGTGAGGGGACGTCTTCTCCCCCTCCCCCCTCCCCTCTGTCACACATACATAACCTCAGGCAAAGGAGAAAACAGGCTGCGAACCTACAGGGTGCAGCACAACCCAAAGCACATCCCTCTCCTGCCCACAAGCATTTGACACACCACCAGGACAGGCAGACAAACATCTGCACATACTCAAAGGAGCACCCTCCACCTGCCAGGTGTGTGCCACCATGCCTCTTACTCTGGACTCTGTGAGGACACCTGGTCTGCAGAAAATGGCACCCACAGCCTGCCCAAGGGTCTCACAACTAGTGAGGCTTGGCCAGGATTTGAACCCCTTCATCCAGGCCGCCATGGGACTAGAGTAGGGGTAAACTCTTGGGGGTGGAGATCACCTGAAGGGACTTCAGCATAGAAGGCAGGGTGGAGAACCTTTTCAGCCTGCAGCGTGGAATGCGGTGCTGGCCTTGTTATAATAATAAGGGTGCCTAGAAGTCCTAGCACATGGGGACTGAGGCAGGAGGATCACCTGAATCCAGGAGTTCCAGACCAGCCTGGGCAACATAGTGAGATACCATTTCCAAAAACTAGGAAGAGTGACGAGGTTGCAGTGACATTCCCAGCCTTGATCTCAGCCTCCCAGTTCCTCCACTGCCTACTCCACCTGAGCTGATTTTCTTGGCAAGAGACGGACGGAGGTTTTCACCAGAACCACAGCAGACGTGGAGGGTCCCTAAGTGCTAAAGAAAGCTACTCCTCAAGGGCTCAAGAGCTTTTCAGCTCTGAGGTGTGTGCTGCTCCTCTCTGGGCCTCAATTTCCACACTGCATGGCAAAGGGGTGGCCTGGACGCTCCTGAAACCCTGTCCCACTTCAACTTGGGGCATCTTTGTACGTGTGAAAACCAGACACAGGCCTGTCCTGTCCTGCAGGGACGCCCAGGCCTACTACTACCACCTGTGGCCAGCCCCTCAGATTCTGAAGCCTCTGTCATCTGGTCTTTCCCTTGAGCTCATGGCCCATGACTATCCAGCAAAGTGACAGGACCTGCCATGCCTGCTCCCAGGCTGGGGGCCCTTGTATGGAAGAAGACATTCAGCTGGAAACCTGGCAAGAACAAAGCAGGGCACTTTATGGCTCAGCTTGTCAAACGGAAACTGATCAAAGTTCAACCAAACCTGAGGGAGACACTTCTGTTTTTGTTTTTATAGTACTAGGGATTAAACTCAGGGCCTTGTGCATGCTAGGCAAGCACTCTCCTCATCCCTTTTTATTTTACTGAGACAGGGCCTTGTTAAATTGCAGAGGCTGGCCTTAAACTTGTGATCCTCCTGCCTCAGCCTCCTAGTAGCAGGGATTACACTTCTGATAACTTCCCTTGGGAGCCTGAATGAGGCCAGCTCTGTTTCCTTCATCCCTGCACTGCCTCAAATCCCCAGAGGAGCAGGGTGACAGGGTCCCCTGATATCCTCACATACCAGGAGGCCCACATGGCCACCTAGCAGGAAACTGTCTGCCTGAGGGGCTTCCTGTAGGCTGGCTGCTCTGCTGGGGCCTTGGGCTTGGTGCAGACCCCAGGAATGTCCATCTGCCACACACACCCTGCTGCCCTCTGCTTGGCACCAAGGTGCCAGCCACAGGTCCCCAGGTGTGCTGGGGAATCCAAGTCCCCATGCTGGCCCAAAATTTGTATCATTTTGCCTCAGAGTCTCCATGGAGGCCCCTCATGGTTTCAGCTGATGGTGAGGAAGGGAAAGGAAAGGTCCTTCTCCTTGCCCTCAACTGACCCACCCCTTAGCTAGGGGGCACAGAGACAGCTCAAGCCTTGATAGATGACCAGGCTGTGGACACTAGGCCAGCTTCAGCAGGTGAGCAGCCAGGAACAGCCAGATCCTGAGCTCTAATGCCCAAGCCATTGCCCTCTCTGGCACAAGGGCCAAGAAAGCAGTAGCAGGTCAGCCTGGCCCTGAACCCCAGCGCTGCTCACCAACCCGCAGGAGTCCTGTGAGTGTGCCAGACTCAGCAAGGCGGGGCAGCAAAGAAGAGGTGCCCTGAGCATGCTGGGAGACAGGACCAGCAACCGGCATCACCCAGCACCTTCTATGAGCTGTGGCCTTCTTTACGATAGCTCCACTTGCAAGGGAGGAGGTGGGCCGGGAAACACAGGAGGAAACGCTGGAGCCAGCCTTGGAGGGGAGCCCTTGTCCAGGCGCCAGGCAGGTTTTTGTGCATGGAGCCTGTGCACGGAGCAAGTCCCTCCTCTTCTGTAAGCCTCAGTTTCCCCTCCGGTGACCACGACTGCTCTCACGGTCTGGGTCCTGGAGGTGTGTACCACCCCTACCTCCCCAGGACTCCGCCACCGTCTCATGGAGTGAGGCCTGACTACTTCCTTCTACCTTTCCTTCTCAGGAAGGCTCTGCAAGGGCCACCCACCATAACGCACCAGTTCTGCCCAGACAGTTCAGAGTCCGACAGCAGCCTGTGAAGGGGTGTCACAGGCCTGGGAGGGTGGGTACTTTGTCTTCTCAGTTCCCAAAAAGCTTTTCAATTCAAGGCCCCCTCCTCTCAGTTCCCCTCACCCCAGTCAGCCAAACACCCCTCTGGGTCTCCCACCCCTCACAGGAATAACTAGGCCACCCGAGGGTCCAGCCTGACCAGCTTTCTGGCTCCCGGGTACCTGGGGCCTGGGTTGAGCAGACTGGTGGCACCTTATTGGACTGGGCTCCTGGCCAAGGCTCCCAAATTCTTGGAGGCAGACTGTCACCTCTGGTAAGACTGCTGTGACCTCTCCCTCCTGGGCATCTAAACTTCAGCCCCTCCCCAGGCCTGAGAGGTGACCATGCTGCTGGTCAGCGACCCCCACACTCTCCAAGTAGGAAAGGCGGGGTCTCCGTCTTCTCTGTCTGCCTCGGGGCTGCATCTGTCCGGAAGGGTGCTCTGGGAACCCGCTGACACAGATGGAGGGGTGACACAAAGTACACTCTGCACACTGTCCCCACCCCACAGGAAGCCCGGGGCAGTGGAAGGTGTTAGGCAAGGACTTGGGTCTCTGTCGGATACTGAGAAGGAGCCCTTCTCCGGGTACCAGGCAAAGCCTTTGGGGTGGGCTCTACCCTACAGCCTGTGCATGGAGCAAGTCCCTCCTCTTCTCTAAGCCTCAGTTTCCCCACCGGTGACCATGACTGCTCTCATGGTCTAGGTCCTGGAAGGTGTGTACCACTGCAGAGCTTGAGGGTCCCTGACATGGTCTCATCTAGGGGGTCCTAACACTTAGGGCCCCCACAAACGAATCCTACTTTATTTATTTTTTGATATTTATTTTTTAGTTGTAGTTGGACACAATACCTTTATTTTATTTATTTTTTATGTGGTGCTGAGGATCGAACCCAGGGCCTCACATGAGCTAGGCGAGCGCTCTATCGCTCAGCCCCAGCCCCAGCCCTTGAATCCCTATTTTAACAGGGAGTTTGAAATGACAGGGTTATCACTGCTTCATTTTGTCCTGTGTGGACTTATTTTCTACCTCATTTTAATTTTCTTTGTCATGAACCAAGGAAAACTGAGTTTTGAGGCTGGTCGGTGGGAAACGCTAATGGAGTCCAGTGACCTCGTGCCCCGAGAGGGTATAGAGTGGCTTGCCTGATGACACATGGCAAGGGGGGGCAGGGACCAGAACTTCGGATTCTAGAGTTCTCCTCTAACCCTGCTCACATGAGCCAAAAGGTTTCAGACTGAGACAGACCTTAGGCTGTCACCACCGGCCAGCTGTGCAGCCTGGACAAGTGAGCCGACAACCGCCCTGCCGTGTTGCACGTGAGAGGCAGGGACTCCTGTGTCCCCCGTCCCCAGCACCTCCCCCACAGATCCACCAAGTCTTTTGCCCATAGTCTGTCTGGGCTGCTACTCAGGACACAAGGGGACAGCCTCTTGCAGAAGGATCCTTTTCTCTGTGGCTCTGAGGCGATGGTCCCGCCATCTCCCACAGCCATCAGCCTAATTAGGAACCAGCTCTCTAATTGCAAATAAATACCAGGGAGTCAGACCCGAGTGAACAACATCAAAGATGACCGAGCTCTGACCGAAACTCCGGCTCGCTACCCCCTGCTCACGGCCTGGCCTAGTTCCCAGCCAGACTCCAGGTCCCGCTGGGAGAGCTTGGTGGGGAAGAGGACAGGCGCTGGGTCTGGGGAGTCAGAAGTCCTGCCTGCTGGCCCTGATCCAGCAAGTCACCTCCCTTCTCTGGCCTCAGTCTTCCCCTCTGAGCAATGAGTTCATTACTTGAACTTGCAGCCCCAAATGCCTGTGATTTAGTAAATGTTCACAGCGGCTCCAGCCATAACCCCCATCCAGGAGCCAGTCCAGATGCCCATCACCAGGAGGGTGGATAAGCAAAACGAGGCCCAGCCACCCCGCCCCCAGCACTACTGAGCGACAGAAAGGAACAAACTAGTGAAACACGCCACACTGAGGATGGCCCCAAGTGCATCCTGTGAGCGAGAGGAGCGCTAGTATCTGCTCCCACCTACATCAAATTCTTGGGTGGGCAAAGCAAGCTATGGAGATAGAGCAAGGACAGTGTGGCTCAGCGGTAGAGCGCTTGCCTACCCTGGGTTCCAGCCCCAGCACGGGCAAGAGAAAAAAGGAGTCAGAACAGTGAAACCCCTGAGGAGTGGGATGATGGTAAGGGGCATGAGAGAACCTTCTGGGTGACGGCAGTGTTTGATACCTTGGCTGGAACAGTGGGAACTCGGGGACGAAATCATGACCTAAACACTCAGCTGTGAATTTCATTGTTCCTGGGTCTGTCCTAGAGTGGCCTCAGCAGGGCTCTGGGCAGCCAGGGGATCGTCAGTTCCCTCCC